GGCCTGTCCTACTCATAGCTTCATCGCGGAGATCATAGGTTCCGCTACCATCTCGGAGAAACGGCATGTCCTTTGAGGTGTGCTTTTGATTTGGTGCTTGGCACGACCCGTATTCTTTACATTATCTTTTTGATTTTGTGTGTCGTTCTTGCAATGCAAGGGTCATGCATAGGGCACTGATGTGTCACACGCAGAGGGCGACCGAATAGATGACGCTGTGCGTGTGCATGGTGCATGGGCAAACCCCCATCATCATACTCTGCAAGACCCAGGGGGCGGCGTCAAAAGAATTATGACAAACAAACTAAACATGTTTTTATATACTCACCACATTCCGCAATGATCGCCATTCAAAATAAAAAGAAACAAAATGTCGAAAAGAGTCGAGCAAGCCGACGTAGAACGCACGGTAGGGGGTGCCTGTGCCAAACAAGGCTTTCGGGCGTGTGTGCGTGGTCATTGCAGGCCGGCCACAATGCCTCCCCTCAAGCAGTGGCAGGTTGTGCGCCAAGGAGAAGCAATGCCAGAGCGTTCTCTGCAGAACGGAAGCCTTATGAAGCGAGTGAAGGGGAGGAGAAAGCCAGCCGTCTGTGCCGTCGTGATGCGTGACACCACACGGCCGATCCACCGGAGAGTCGCGACGGCGAAGGACGGCGGTGGCAGAAAGCCGCAGGTCGATGCTGTCTGTGTCTGGATTGATTGGTGTTCATGTGCGCTTGTCAGCATCTAGACGACCAATCACCCCTCTGGGCGCAAGAGTTTCTCTTCTTCCTTAATCTGCGACGCAGCAAGGAGGCGGCCGTGAGCTACGACATCGAGGTGAGCTAAGCAGGTTCATTTATTGGCGTTGTCTTGCAAAGTGCTTGTTCTGGTGGCGATGAGTGGCAAGCTTCTTTGTGTTGTTCAGCCTTGAGAAGAACGCAAACAGAAGGGTTGGCAATAGCCTTGCACTGTGGTGACGTAACAATGAGTCTGCTTACTTACATAATATACATGTGCCACAGGTCTGCCTACAGTAGGCACGCAGTGAACCGCAAATCGCCCCACCAGAAAAGAATGGCTTTTGGATGTAAACATTTGGACACCAAGGATCAACACTGGTGACAAGGTAGCACCGAGAGAGATGGTGAGTCGGATGTCGTAGGTGCAACCACACCCGGACAAGGTCGACCCAGAAGGCATGGCACCTGGCGATACCTGACCTGCGAGGTGTCGACTCTTTTCCTCTACAAAGCGACGTGGTGAGGACCCCATGGTGTTCAGGTTCGGTCTCAGACCCATATGGCCCACAGCTGGCGCATGACCTGCTGAACCAGCAGCGGGGAATGTGGAAACATCGCAAATCCACTGAGGAAGCAAGGAGAGGTCCGACCAAACTGGAACAGTCAGAATGAACATAATTTGACAACATACAAAGTACATGTGAAGCTGTTGATTAACAACCTCCCTCTGACTCTATCAGAAAAGGGATGAAAAGGGTCTTATTGACCAACAGTCAGCAAGAAGGGGCCTAGTTTCGCCATGCCCATTTTACTTACCTGAGGCTTCTAGAGCTTCTCTTCGCGCAACCGTCGCTGCAGAGTCCCACTAAGAACATTCGTCTTCCAGCGGGGAAGATCTCCACAGCAGACTCATTGGTCCATTGACACGGGCAAAGTAGGCATGATCAAAACGCTCATGTGCAAGGAGAATATGTTGCACATGAAAACATATGAAAACATCATGGTGGCCCATGCCCATGAAACACTTCACAACGCGTGAACATCTTCTGAGTGGAAGTCTTGCGCTTTGAAAAAAGGAGCCGAACAAATGAAATTGAAGTTCCAAGTCCTGCCAAGTGGAGCGAGTTGTGCCTTTGTTGCGTCCAGGTATGGGGATCCGCTTCGTTTTCCAGCGATTTCGCACAGGGAAAGCGGCTTTCAGCACAACAAGGCGGCAAGCTTCATATTGCAACTCTCCACCTCGAATATATTGTTGCTTCATATTGTTTCCATGCACAAAATATCACAAAATCCATTCAATCTTACAAGAATTCGTTACTTTCTTTTGGCCTCACAGCCACCCAATGGTATACATGTTCTTTGGCCAGTTTTTCGGATACCCTTGGACTCCCAGGGCAAAGGATACCGTTCTTTTTGCTTGGCCGAATGGTTTCATGTTGCTCGCATGGTCTCCATATCTCGTATCACCTCCAGACCGGTTTTCAGCAGCTCACCAGCTCACCAGCGGCACGTTCGCACGTTCACCAGGGCACGTTCGCACGTTCACCAGGGGAGAAGAACACCAAACGACCCGTAGAGCGGATCGAACGTTCAGAGCAGGCAAAAGTGAGGAAAACACCGGCTTTACCAACGTTATGAGAACCACCTACGGTTCACAGGCAATAAAAATATCACCTCTTCCCTCGCTGCGAAAGTCTCACTTCACCACCAACTACTCAGACGAAAAACTACTCCATCTGCTGGTGAGAAGAGGTTCACCTGATCAAGACCTCAAAAAGACCAACAAGCACGGCACGGACTTAGGCTGAAGAGCCCTTTGAGAAGGAGTGGAGGAAGACCTTCCGTTCACAGCACCGGGCGCAGGGACCACAGCGGAGGGACCGCTCCAAAACATCGGCGTGGCGGCGCGTGGCGGCGGTCTGACGTTCGAGTTGGAGTGGCCTCGTTTTCTCGTTTTCTCGATCAAAAACCATGATGAAACAACCAGAAACAACCAGAAGAAGAACCAGAACCATGTTGGAGTGGCAAATAGAAGATGAACCATGATGAAACAACCAGAAATTACAGCAACATACAGCAACACAAAGGCAGCGGTGAGCTTCAAAAAAAAGACCGTGTTGAGAACTTGCTTCTTCCCAAACACACAGATCCGTCGAAGCCGCCTGATACAACCAGAAGGGGTGCCAACGAAGAGACGTGTTTTTCGCCATTGAAACACACATGCCACGACATGCCGCAAAGAGACGGTGGTCACGGCACGACCAGAGTCGGGTTGCCAAATCGAAGGTCGTGTCGCCAATGCTGGAGACTCGAAGTGACACGACATGCCACGTCGGTCCAGGGTCCGATGGACCCAGCCGACCAGCCGACCAGCGAGACAGACGTGGCTGGCGCTGGGCGGCCCGGGAAGGCAGAAAGAGTTCCTCAGCCACTTGGTCTGCGGAAAAGGAGGGAGTCGATGAGAATCCGGACCCTCTCTGGGAAGTGGTTGCACAGTGCCATTCTCGGCGTGGCGGACACCACAAACGCGCTGGAGAAACAGAAAGGCGCCAAACGCGCGGCCGTCGAGACTTTGCAGTCCAGTCCATGGTTGGCGGCAGCCGAGAACGAGTCGCAGGCGCAGTCGCATTGTTTCTCTTTTTCCACGTCAGGTTGCTCTGGGCTTTTTGCCACGGCGCTTCGCTGCCTCCCGGCGCTTGTTGGACATCTCCTGACGGAAGGGCGTGGCAACAAGAGCTTCAAACTGCTGAAGGGGATTTGTTGGAAGCGAAATGGCTAACGCTATAAGGCTATATGTACTAGCACCAGTCAAACAAATCATGTTGAATAAGGAAAAGACATGGTCAAGGGGTCTACAAACCATTCATTGGGCGGTGCTACAAGTAGTATAGATGTTCTGAGATGTTCTTTTTGCGTCCATCAATGTTCAGAGTTCAGGGTTGTGAAAAAGAGATTCCTGGAATATCCTGTAATATCAGATCCCCAGAAGCCTGGAATACAAGATGAGTTGGTCAAAATCTGTCAAAATGAGTCGGAATCTCCGACTCAGCCGTTTTCACCCCGAAAAGAACGGACAGAGATTCTGGGTGAGCACAGCCATGCAGGGATCTGATGAGTCCGAATGATTCGCTGTTTCCCCCCTGTCACTGTGTGGGGGTACTTCTCCTCTGCTTCTCCAATGAAGGCTGTGAAAAGCATTGAAGAGCACCATGACTGCTCCAGTCGAACCTCCCAAACCCCAGGACCTCCAGGAGCGCCCAAAACCCTCCGGGTCCCGGCGTCTCCGGACCGGGCGCTCCGACTTCTTGGAGCGCTCTTTCCAGTCGATGCCGCAGAAGGTGAGCGAGGCATCGAAGTCCAAGTCGCTCATGGGAGGGATCTTCGGCTTCTTCCCCTTCTTCCTCACTGGGAAGAGTTGGGCGCTCGGAACTCGGTTCTGTCGCGATGGCCAGGCCGGAACTGGGAAGGCCAAGCGACGCCACCGCGAGTTGGGCAGCCCGGTTGGCGCAGAAGATCGACGTCGAGGACCGGCGGGCGAGGGCCATGGACCAGAGTTTTGGGTTCCCCAAAGCTGGCCATTGATCGAAAGGTCCATGAAACCCCTGGTGTTAAAGTGGTGGCATCGTGATGGCGGTTCAGCGAATCTCGTTTCGGTGTGAACGGCATCGTTTCACCTGGGAACCTCTTTCAGCTTTCGGGAACTATCAGTCTCGACTACCTTCCGTCTGTGTACCCTGAGGCGTGGTATTTGGGGATGTACAGTAGTCAACTGTGGGGAGGAGACGTCGGCAGTGGATCCAGGCAATCCACAAACGTGGTCATCCAAGGGTATACTCCCAAACCAAGCAAGCATCCTGGAAACATCCTCGAAACATCTTTGGTCCCCTTACGCCCCCTTGTAATTAGGGTGCTCTTGAAGCAAAATTACAGTAATGCTTTGATTAAAAGAACAAAAACACACATGTGGTGATGGTGTTTTTGTCAAAGCTTTGACCACCGATGTTCGAACTCAGCTTGCACTCCCAGCGCCTCCATCCGGACGCACAGCCGAGGCGCCCGTAGCCCAGTTTCCAAGGGATTTGGATCAAGCGCCGTTCGCCCACACCCATGCCAGTGACCCCTTGAACGAAGCCCGGTAGCATGGTGCCCTGCACAACATGAGAATCTGCGCAGATTTTGAGATACATATAATATATCCTGGTTCTTCAAAGTGACCTTTTGATAACCTGGTTTGAGGTCACTTAAGCCTCCTAAGGGTCACTTAGGAACCTTCAAAAGGTCACTTTGAAGAAGCTGTATTAATATATTATAACATAATGAAAAGACTTGGACCTGGGAGCATCAACATGTATCAAGAGGATTTAGAGGCTTGGACATGAGTCATGGATTGAAAGATCAAACACACAGTTTGAGATGGATTTTGTTGCAAGAGCTCATCCGGAAACCTTGCAGCTTAATGGTCTGACCTCTTCTGCTCAAAAAGTAATGAAGCTTGACTTGTAAGTTTTGATTCTTGGGGCGTGTTGGCCACTCTTAGAAAAAACACACCTGACAGCCTGACATCAAACATGACCTCTCGACAGAAATCAAGCCATTTTCTTTGACAGGCAACCGCAATTTTTGTGGGGAAAAGCTCAGTTGGCGATAGATTTGGGTTCGCCACCTGCCACGTACTTGGAACCCTGGAGTCGTGGAGGTTTTGATGAACCTGTGCCGCACGTCCAGTACTTCTGATACTTCTGGAAGTGGGTTCTAGTAGCGTCCTTTCGCTCCTAGTAGCGATGCCCTTTGCTCCTAGTAGCGTTCTTGCTCCACATGTTTATTTGTTATTTTTGCATGTTGCATTCTAAGCTGACGGAATAGCCTCTTCACAAGTTGTCAAGACTGGCCTCGTCACCTATGAGAGGTCATTCCACATGATGTTTCTCTCATTTCCAGGTGAGTCTCCGTCAAGGGCTCTCCAATTGAAATGGAAAGAACATGAATTAAAGGTCTGCCGTTTCCCAAAGTATATATATATATATATATTTGGGGATTTAAGGGGATAACACATGATAAGACCATTCTTCTCTCGGCTTGCTAACACCAAAAAAACCTGCCCGTCTTCACTCTCATCCGTCTTCATCGCGAACTAAGATGCCCACATCGCCCAGCAAGAAGTCAATCTCCCCATTGTCAAAGCGCCGCTGGTTCTTGGCCAATCGCCCCTTGACGCGGTGGCTGGGGTCGCTCGCGCAGCGGTGAACAGTGGCCATGTGGACGAGAGCTCGGCCGATGTGACGGACATTCCGTTGCTTCGGGTGGGTGAGATGCAAGGCCCGGGCTCGGTGAGAAGAGATCTGACTCAGTCAGAACGAAGAAAAACAACAAATTGGCGCTGAATGAGGTCGCTACCTTTTCACCTTGAGGTAGCGACTCGACAGCCGTTCTGCTGTTTCTTCTTGTAGGATGTCTCTCCAATTGATACACTCACACCCAGGAGAACCAAATCCAATAAGAGCTTCAAGTCTAGGACCTAGGATTGGAGAGAAGATTCCCAGACCCTGGCTCGCCCCAGCTGCTGATCAACATTGAATCAATCCTATACAATTCAAGTGGGAGAAAAAAACACACATTGATAAAACTGGATTAAAACGACATATGAGCAGAAATTGATTGCTTTCACTGACATCTTTAATTAGTTGCTTTACACTTACACCTCACAGCCAAACCAAAACCCGGGACCCCAGCTGCAGGTCAACTCGACCGATGCAGGTTCCGGCACCGCCCGGTCAACTCAGCCCGGTCGCCTCGTAGATGAGCCGCACTTCGGAGCCTTTCAGTGCCACTGGGGCACCGAAGGGTGCTGCACGCAGGACCTGGGCGGGGCTATGTATGGCGGGCTATGGCGGGGCGGGTCGGCCTGTGTGGTTTGGGTGTTGAAGATAGGTGATAGTGATAGGTTGAAGAAGTCTGATCAAATGCTCCAGATAGATGGAATTTGGGCAGCCATGGAATGAATCAGAACATCATAAGTTATCATAGAACTGACATCTTAACTGGATCTCTTAATAGTTGAACTCGTCCGCCGTCCGCGGAGCTGCCAATTCTCAATCTGCCCGGCAGTCTCCGACGCGTCGTCTGTCGGACAGCGGCCCCGTCCGTTGCACCGTTTGGACGTCGACGGACGAGAGGGGCCTTGATGACTACACCGCCGGGCAGTGTCTTGGTGGCGCCCAGTGGAAGCAGGGTCCCTGCGGGCAGGGAAGTGTCAAAGGGCCACAGGCCAGGAAGAAGTTCTGGCATAAATGGTCATATATTATAAATATTATACTATATTACAGTATATGACGACGATCCAGCTACACTTACACCACCAAAGGCAATTGCAATGCATCCCTGTCATGTCTAATTCAATCATTCCCGACCCCCCTCCGCCCCAGGCCGGGCGGTTCGTAAAGCCTGGATCGTGCTTGGTGTCCACTCGGGCTTCCTGGTGGGCACGACACCCAAGCTTCCAACGAGCATCAACCAGTTCTAGAGTTGGGTAGTGATGTTGATTTTCTTTGGAGACGAAAGGGGTTCTCACCGAACCTCCGCGACCCGATGGGTCTGGATGGGTCTGGATGGGCTGAGACATCAATGTGTGACCCCCGCATGGAACTCGTTTCTATGGGGGTTCTACCTGCCAGAATCAGGTCGGACCTACTTTTATTCAGGACAGTGGACAAACAACAGTCAACTGGCTTCTACCAAGGTGAAGCGGTTGATGCCCGTTTGCTCCCGTTCTTTGTTTCAACACGGTCTGCCCACGTCATCGGTGACCCATTCGTCTCTCACCGCGGTCATCAGTGACCCATCTGCCCACGTCGAAACATCCGACCTCGGTCATCTCCGACCGAGCAGTGGCAGTTCCTTCCGACCTTGGATCCAGAGCCCGGGAGGCAGTGGGATCCTGGAAGTCAGCCCTGCAGGGCTGACTTCCTGGTTTCGAGGCCCACATTGGAACCTGAAAACCACGTCAGGTTGTAAATGGACTTCCATGTTCGGGTTCCATGTTAATCTTCCTGGGTGAAGCCTGGGTTCCGAGACTTCGGAACACCCAGGCGACGCCGCGGCGAGGCGGGTTCCGCCGCGGTGTAGCCAAGGCGTTCCGAGCATTCGTGCGGAGTGATCATGTGTTCGCTACGAAGATAGTTGACATAGCTCATGGAATCTATAGCTCCAATGATTCCGGTTGAGGTCAACAACTCCTGAGTCACAATAGGAGCAACCAACTGAGCCATCATCTAACTTTCAGCAAGTCAGGACCGGTCTACAAAGACTGATGGAGTCTACAAGGACTGATGGAGTCTACAAGGACTGACGTAGTGGCGTGTTTTGATGCTCGTCCAGTGGTAGGGAAAGCGGTCCTGGAAAGCGGCTTTGACCAGTCACCGAAGTGTCCAAAGCGGCTCACCACAGCGGTGCATCCAAAAACGCAGAAACCGTTCCGATGCATAGTTCATGTGAAAAACCAGATGCCTTGCGTCTTGGTGCATTCCAGAAGTCGTGGATGCTTTTAGAGTCACTAAACATCAGCTTTGAACGGCTCAGGTCCTACAGGCCCTATAGCCAGGCCAAAAACTTCGGAAGTGCTTGTGACCGCTCCTCAAATGCGGCTGACACACGAACAGGAGAGTGCTTGAAGTTGATCACTCGTGAACGTGTTAAGCTTCAAACACCCAATGGACCTAATAACCTTTAAGGCACGCTTTTTTTGTTTTAAACATCTTTGTCCACTGCTGGATTGGTTGTTTTGAAGGGTCACCTTGGACAAGTTCTCCTTGCACTCCTTGCACCACCTGACATCCGCAGGAATCTGTGTCCTTGTTTTTCTTAATATGACAGTACTTACAGTGCTATCAACATCTATCAACCGAATGGTCAGGATTGAGCATGAAGGCGGTCTGAGGATGATGAGCACCGAGCCAAGCCCAGGCACAACCTCTCTGCCGTTGCACTGGGCCGGCGCTTCCGTTTCCTTCGCAGCTGTGCGGTACCAGCCGAAGGGTCAAAGGCTCCGGCTGCATCAGCCTGAGGTGGGAGAGGTGAAGCTCTACATTGAAGTCGACAACGATGTCTATTCTACAACCCACTTTAAACAAACTCTTCAAAGAGCGAGTTAGGTCTGGGTGAGATCTTGATTTTGTTGCCACTGATGTTCTTTCTACGGCCCTCAAAAAAAAGGAGAGAAATGGGGCCTAAAGGGGATCCAAAAAGCTCCAGCCTGGGCTTCCTCAGCCCGAACTGGAACTGGACATGGCGTTCCTGGCCTTCGCTGCACCTTGAGGAATACGAGGTATGGCCCGTCGCATCGGTTCCCTTGAGCAATATTCAACACATGTGTGATGTTTCTCTGTCATATTGAGCCTACAACTACATGTGGGTTCATGATGCCAAACATTGATGCTTGGGTGATCCAAAGATTCACCTATGTGGGCCATGTGCGAGCTCGAGCATGTGAGGTCTTCATGGAGGTTCAGAGTTCAGGGTGGGTGGCAAAATTCGAAGGCTGGCTCCATACAAGAATGATTTGTGGGATTGTGTCGTCCATTCAACATGCATTCCGAAGCATGCCGTGGAGTTGAACCACAGAGATCAAACCCAATAACTTGGCTAAGGAACTTCAGCGTCTGTTGCTCCAAGCACCGGGTCTTCGGGCGTCAAAGCCTCTTGTTTCGACTTCAACTTTCCTGTCTGCGTAGCTGACAGAAGCGGAAACAGGTCACCACCAGAAGGGACCAATCAATGAGTCACAAAAGCAACCCAGACCTTGCAAAGGGGCGTTACGGACAAATTAGGCAGGCATGTAGGCACCTTGAGGATGTGCTGGAACAAACGTAATTATACTGTAACCATCGGATCACGGATCCTAATTGCTGTTGGAGGAAGACATGTTACCTGAGACCATAAAAGCCACGGTATGGACTTTGGGAAGTCTTCCATCAATGGTAGTCATACGTGAGCCATCAGCCCTTAAGTGCTCCAAACAGTTTGTACCCTTCAAAGGTGCTGTCCGAGCCTGACAGCGCCAGAGCTGTGTGGTGGTTTAAAACAACACACAAACAGCTTCCATGACAAAGAAAATCTTCCGATGCAAAGTCCAGGCTTCCAGCTTTTCTTTTGATGCCTTTCTTTACTTTCCGCCTAGGCTTAGCTTCTCCATCTTCGCCCTCTTCTTCAGAGTCCGAGCGCAGCGCCGCAAAACGGTTGGCGGCCAACACGTGGCTCGGCATGGCGACGTTCGCATGTCCAGGAAGCACTCCTGAACGGTCTTGACTCTTGACTCAAATTGCCTTTCAGAAAGGTATGCTCAAACTCAGCACTCCTTGGTTTGGAATTTGTGACTGATGACTCTGATGATGCAATCATGAAAAACAATGTCCATTGATTACTTTGCAGCTACATGCCGCCAGTTGCAGTCCTTTGACAATTCAATTATCAATAACTTTCGAATCTGTTATGTTGCGCGACTTCCTTAGTCTATTCACAAAAGTTCTGGGATCAGTTCCCAAGTTCTGCAGGAGCCTTCAAAAAGAATTTGCCAGCCAACGGGTGCTTGGTGATGTGGGTGTGTTCCGGCCAAACTCATGATCTTGGACCAACCGGTAGCGCTGGAAACCAGCGACGATGCAGGTACCCACAAGCTGGCCCTAGTCAGTTGGTTCAACGTCCTTCAAGTTAGGGTTGTGTTCCAGTCCAGCAGGGATCTACCCGACACTGAAGTGCGGTAGCAGATTTGATGAAATGATTTGTGCGGATCCACCAAAAGACCGATTGAAGGACAATGAAAAGTCAGTCGCGATCGAAGGACCAAATGCTATACTCACCAGTTGGTAGCCATGACAGCTACTGTTGCACTTTGCATGATTTGAACCCTTGCCTTGTTCAATGGCAACCTCCCCCTCTTCACCCATGACGGGTTTTCGTGGGGGAAACAGCCATGAGCAACATGTTGCATGTTGGCCCATTTCAAAACAACATGTGGAACAAAATTCTGACTGGTGCTTAGAAGGGAATGAGAGAATGGGTCCAAATCCTTATTGGGGGGCTGAACAATTCCGTCATTCCTTACTAAGCACCAGTCAGGATTGGTGTCCTTCAAGCAGTCCCATCCTTTTGAACGTCTTTTTTGAATGGCTGTTCATGCCCTCAGTGACATAACATGCACCTGGATTGGGCTCTTCCCAACCCGGTGACTGCTCGCATTAGCTTTGGATGTTTTGCCAGAGAAGAATCCCAACTTAGCCAAAGGTCTTTGTACTCGTCATGACTTGCATGACGACTAGTACAGTAAATGACACGGAACAATGGGCCTAAATAAGCTGCATCATTATAACTTAATAACTTACATCTGCCATCCAATGGCTCTCAAAGAAGCTGTTCCTTCTCCTCAGCACGAAACATGGCGTAATAGACCTCAGTGTCGAGAATGCATGTATTCGCAGGATGGACCCGAAGCTGTCTCTCTCTCAGTGTGTTCTGTTCATGGCGTGGTCTGGGTGGTGGAAACCCTACAAAACACAGCGCCTCCTGGTCGCCCGGGCGCCAGGCCACTGCTGCAAGGAGAGCCAGCAGGGACAGCATGATCATCCTTGCAGAAAAAGAACCAGTGAGTTTGTTGCTGTAGCTTCTTGCGACTAGTAGTAATGCCCTTAGCTACTAGTTTCTTGCTACGACCGCGATGGCCTCCAACCGTTCGCAGCTTCGACCGTTACGACCGATCGACCGTGGGGACCTGAAAGGGGGAAGCACGGGGAAGGCTTCGTCAAATCGACCGCATCGCGAACTTCGTCCCAAGCAGTTATAGAACAGTTCTCAGGTAGTTTGGAGAACTGAGTTGACATATAACTGATGTGAACATGTCCAAGTCCATCCGTTTGTCCTTTCTTCCGACTTCTGTTTATCACTGTTTTCACCTTTCTAACATCGATGATCAAATGGACTCTGTTCGATCACCGCTCCGTCTGAGATCAAACCACCGACCAACGGTTTCTTCGTGAGCTTCCGATCGCGGTGCCACAGCGGGACAGTGCGACACCCACGAACTTGGCGCCCAGGGGCCAGGTCCAGGAGCTTTCGTCCGACCTCAACGGCTGTTTGGTTGGACGGTGGAGCAGGCAGATGACTGGGGAGCAAGCAGATCGAATTTTTATCTATATATATCTATTTATCATTCTATATCTCCTGCAAACACATCGAAACGTTCGAAGTCGGTGACCATCATCCCGGATTCGCAGGTCCTCGTCGAATCGTGGTCGAACACCGCGAATCCCGGCGGCGGCTAAGAAGCGACGCGGCGCTCGCTCGCTCGGTCCGGAACGACGCGTCGACGGAGCGAACGCGGCGAATGGGCACAGCCGGTGCGAACTGGGATGCGAACGGTGATGCCGGTGATGCTATTGACGTGATGCGTGTGACGCATGTGACGCAAAGATTTATATAGATGTGACGGGATCATCCGGGATTTTTCGATGTTTCGGTGGGCCATACAGATTGGTGCTATAGCTGCTATAGATAGATACCTATACACTTAGCCACGATAGCCATACAGCCACCCGCAGGAATCGGTGCGTCTCAGGCATGGACTCTTCTTTGTCAAGGCCATATTGTTTCAAAAGAGGCTCCAGCTGCTTCCTGGACGCTCGGACGCACCCCTGGACCTGGTTCCTGGACCGCTATGCAGCCAGAACAAGTCTGTCATGTTCTTCTTTTTCGTGGTGCGTGGGTCCCCTCTTGTACATTGTAAACGCTGCTTTTGCAGAAAGCAAATCAACATGGTCAAGAAGTAGTTTTCCACATCATAGTCCGCTTAAAGGGTGAATAGGATGCGTCGAGCGTCGAACATTTCTTTGGTGTGTGAACTAGTAGCTCAAGTGGTCCAGTTTCATTTACCCTGGAATGGCCTGCATCCTCATCCACGCAATGAATTCTGCTTCGAGACTTGACATACCACGGTGTCTTGCAGATCAACATGCCCAAGGTTCATTTACACTCTGACCCACTAATATGGAAGTGGAAAGTAGGCACCGGGAAGAGCAATTGGCTCTGGGGACATATGTTTCTTTGCGCATCCATGTGGCTCTGAGTGGGAGTGTACGATGGCTTTGAGTGTTCATGTTCGACTCATGACCCGAAGACGACGAAGCAAAGACCTCTGCCGCACCTTCTCTCTTCTTTCTCCTCTTCAGAGACCTCTTGCTTTCTCAAGTAGCTGCTATACCTCACGTGGAATTCTCAAGGTTGAGTTTGTGTCCTCGGCACATGGGTGAGTCGAACACAAACGAATTGATGGCCCAATCGTTTCAATGCAAAGCAGCTTGGCACAATCCCAGCTGACCCAAAAAAGCAAAGGAACCACCTGCTCACCGTCCGAACTGTCTGCGACGCCGCCCGGCAGGTGTCGCCAGTGACTGACGTCGACGTGCTCAGGCGCTCACTCTAAGAAGAGCATGTAACCTGGGGCATTCGACGTGAGGATGGGGCGTTCCACCTGGATCCGTGGTGTGGACCATGTGCGCCGCGAGCACGACCGATACCAGGTAGTACGAAACCAGGATGGACCGATTCCATCACCCACAGCCACATGGACTCACAGCCTGCCGTGCTACCTGAGACCGAATGTGCTTTCCAACATCTACAAATCGGGTGCTAAAAAAAAGCGCCGCTTGCTCCAGGTGGTCTTCTACATCGGATGTAGCAGCATTGTGAAGTGCAAGCGATAGTTGTCAATTCAGAAGTGGTTGGTGGTTTCAACTCACTTGCAAAATGTAGTCATTGGGTTCAATCAGCCCAAGCCAAGGGTGAACATCTGAATATCTCACACCGTCCAAACAATGATGAATCAACACCCCACGAGAAGGTCTAGACAATCGGGCACCCAAATCATCTGGAACAACCGCCAATTCAATCTGATGTGGGAGGGACCAACTTCATTAGGGGGTTACGAGTGGGGGGATGCTCTTTGTGAGCTTGAAAAACCACCATTTTGGATAGTACGCGTTTAATGTAGTTTAAACATCTAATATATGCAGTATATATCCCAGACACTCCATGTCTATATGCCTACATTGGGGTGGTTTTGGGGGTCAATGGGGCGGCATTTATGGCAGTCCCATGGAGTGTCTGGGTATATGTATAGACCATGTCGATCTAATCTTCTCGGGGGTTGTTCTGGGATTCGGGTTGGCTTTGGGGGATCCGGAGCCGCAAACGGACAATGAAGGTTGTGAAGAAAGGGGGCAAACATCAAATGACAAGAAGGGTCCAATGATTTAGGTACCCGAAACACGCAAAACCTCATGATATAATCAATGCACTGGCACTGTTTAACCATGTGCCAAATATCTTTTGGTTTAAAGGCGGTTGGTATTGCAGGAAACAATCCGGCAATTTTTTGGGGGGTCCATAATCATGAGCTGACAATGCAAGAAACTCTCTACAAAAAACAACTAAAGTCACACTCTGACACTGGTTTTCAGTTAAACTCAATTTCTCCGATGGGAAGGAAGGTGATGGAACTGCATGGTGGAGAGTCTGAAAGACTTGTAGGTGTTTCAACAAGTTGTTGGTCAGTCTGCAGAACGATCGGTCGGCGCGGCTCAGCTGCAAGACAACGCGGCAAAAGGAGGGTTTAGGGGAAGTATCATGGAAACACCATGAAGCAAACCAAAGGAAGAGTGGAGTCACAGCTTGATAGAAAAGCAGGTACGCAGGGCTGATCGGGCCCTGCTTCCCACTCTCGCCCACAGCTTCGTTGCGTGTGGTAGGGCGAGAGTGCCACACGCCCCTGCCTGATTGGAGTGGTCGAGGGAAACCCTTTGTCCAGGGGTGGACACACACAAGTCGCCGGCTTCGGCGCTTTTTCAAGACACCCCCTACCGTTGAACCAGTGGACGAAAACCTTTTGCCCAGGGGTGGACACACACACAGAGCCGTTTTCGGCGCGGTCAAAGTAGTAGTAAGGCCAGGGGCCTCCAGTAGCGTCCTAACTCCCAGGGGAACATTTGTACAAAAAGCGCCAAATTGTTGGCGCAACGAAGAACTAGTAGACACCTAAAAAGCCTTAGAAGGACAGAAAAAGCAACGAAAAAAAGAGCAGACTAAGAGGGCAAGAAAGAAAAATAGGGTAGTTACGAGGCCCACTTAGTTAAACGAAAGTAGAAGGCGAGCGGGACATTCGTCTTAAACCGCCCGGGTAGCTAGCAATAGCTAGGAGAAACAGAAGGAAAGGCACCAACACACAAGTGTGTTGAGTGCGATTTCCTTCTGTTTCCCGAGTAGCGGGTGGGATAGCAACGGAGGCCTGGGGGTAGGGAGGGGGGGGGGTGAAAGAGTGACTAGGGCGTACACGGTAGAGGTGCAGACCGCTAGTGTCTTTTATGCGCAGAGTCTTATCCTCTTGCTCTTTGAGCCTTGAAGCAGTCAAGCATGGACACACTATATCGGCTGTTGGAGTGGAACCCTGTACAGGTAGGCTCTACTTTTCAGCAGGCGCAAGACTCATGTCCACTCCTAGCTGATTGCGTATGTCGCATACTCTTTTTCTACTGCAAGGCTAAAACAGTCCAGCTAGCTCTAACAACTTAAAAGAAAACTACGGTGCCATGTACTTACCTAATCCAGTGTGTTTCACACTATAGAGAAGGTAATCTCAAAGCTACTAAATGCAGTGAGGGAGCAATAGCTGACTCACCTCAAGTACAAAATCAAAACGATAATGTACCTCGGCTGGAGACTGTACTTTTCGCAGGCGGAGATACCATGTACCGGCGCTCACTAGCTCCTTATGGCCTGAGCTAAATCAAACTAAAAGGGAAAGCGGCTTTTTCTCTACAGAGACCTATAAAAGAATCAAACGACACTCGCGTAACAAAGAACTAAAAATTCAAGACCGCACAAATGCAATTAATTACAATGCCTTGCAAAATGCAAGGAGCGTACGGTCCGAGGAATAATCTTCTCGTGACGTGGTCTCGACCGCTTTCATCCACAGACAAAATAAAACTGCATCAAAAGGACTCTCTTTCACATTCACATCAAAAACACAAGAAGGAGATACCGGCAAATGTATGTACAAAAAAAAATCTTGCACTACAATTGCAAATCATGAAATGACTTAATCATCAACCATGACTGGTTGTCCATTAGAGGTCACTTCATAAGAGCGGTGGTGATAGATATCATCAGTTCTGTAAAACTGTCCATACCTCTCTACATGCTAAAGCATATAAACCTGGAATGCAGGAGTATCTTCTTTGATAAAAAGTTTCTCCTCATTGCAAACCAGAATTTATTAAAAACTTCAGCCTGGCAACTTAAAGTCAAGCCTGGAAGCAAAGTATCAACTGTAACCAGAAGTATCTTCACTTCCTAGCCATCATTTAAATCTCAGCCTTCGCTCAGGAATTATGCCGCTGCAAACGATGAAGCTGCTTGATCAGAAGTTGGCGGCCTTCCTTTCCTTTTATTCTCTTTCTGTTTCTCCTTCCTCCGCAGTTTCGCCTCATGAAGTGTTGCTCCCATGCGATACTGTCTTCTGTCTCCAGATGAAAAGGAAGCTGGTCTGAGTGAAATAAACATTGGACCATGACTGTCCTCGTCAGTGGGCCTTGAGCACATAACCTCTGTGTCAATCATAGCAAAGTTCTCTGAAAAATTACAGATGAACTCCTTCGTGCTCATTGTGGAATTTTCATATTCCTCTTCACTCATTGAATGACCCCATTCAACAATGGTAGACAAACATGTATCGCCAAGCTGTGATCCTTGGTATTCTTCTTTCTCAACAGTAGAGTATTCTTCCCAGAGTTTATCAAAGTAAACTTCACACTTCTTGAGGACCTGTGAAGTTGAACTGTAAAATGTTCTGGGAATAGGTGCTTTGATACCAGGATCTGCTTTTACACGAGCTTCTGAAAACCTGCGGATCCAATGCTGCATGGTGCTGTAATAGTAGTTAGCCATTGGCTGCCTTTTGTACCCAGACATTCTGTAGGCCAAACTATTTGCATCACCAGAAATGATGTCCACCTCATAGACAAAACACTCGTAAAGCATCAATGCTGTTTGTTCTCCTGTCAGTAGGTGGGCATCCACAGCACGGTGTGTATCAACATGATAATTACAGACTCTGATGGTATGCATGTTCGCTCGAGTAAGTGGAACACGCTTGTCCTCAGGACCATAGTCATCAAATTCAAAGTCTGCATCCTTGAAATCTTGACGAGGCCTTGTTTCTCCAAAACAAATCTCGTAGATAGCCCAAGTTACATCACGCTGTTCACAGTGACCAAGTTCTTGATCATGTCCAGCAATGATCTTGACATATCCACCTGGTGCCAATCTAGCCATCACTGCAAGATTCTCCCAATCATTGAAACAAACTGTCCAATTCTTTTGCTCAATAAATTCCTTGGCAGGAACAAGAAGATGAGCTTCCTGGAGAATCACGACATGTGCACGTAGAAAGAAGAGCGTGTTGAAGAAAAGGTTGTTCTCAAATTGCTCATTCTGAAGTGACATGGCGCTCTGTTTGCGTGGCCTCATTGCACTATCAAGTCCTTGGAGAAACCTTGGTGTGGTGTACTTCTGACCACGAACCATGTTGCCATAGTTCCAGGATAAAAATGTCAAGGACTCTGAGCTGGCCAATAAATTAGTTCCATATGGTTCTTCTATTCTTCCCTTGAGGAACCTTCTGCACAGCTCTTCATAGAAGGTGACAAAGTCCCAACTGGGTCCCTTGAGACCATATGATTCCAGTTCCTTCTTCAGTTCCTTCTTCGTCTCCTCCAATTCTTCTCGAGCATGTCCTGCCCTTTCAAGGGCCTTTGGATCGACCTGATACTTGCCATCCAAATAAATGATGCGATCATCATTGATAAAGAATCTCTTCAAATCCTGCTCTGGTTCATGTTCATAACAATCAGGTGGAGGCACTGGACAGATATTACGAATGGATCGAACAAAATCATTCTCGTTGATCCTCGACTGATAATGAGGATGGGAAATCTCACCTTTCCTGAAACAAACATGATTCAGCAATCTTGCGTGAGTTTCCCTGAAGCATAGTTGATAAAGGCCAATACCTGGATCTCCTGTAAACTCTCCAAGCAACTTCAAAGGTGAAGTATGCAGCTCATAGGTATTGTCAACTTTTGTTGTATCCTTTTCAACAACTACTTCAGATGGAAAAGATTCCTGGATTTCAGCCTTCAATTTCTTCTCTCCATCATCCTCTCTGACCTCTTTTATTTTCTCCACCGCCTCTTTCTTCTCTTCCATGGTTGCATCATCCTGAACTTCTTCATGAAAATGAGGATCAGGTATTTTATTCAGGCGGCTTTTCTTAGATTTCGGCAGACGTAGAGTATCATCAAGGTTAGCATCCATCTCACCTGATGGTAAGTGCGATGCAGTCGAGTCCTCACCTATCTCTCTTGACAGAAAGTGTGGTG